TCGGTTGATATTTGTGATCTTTGCACCTGGAGAGGAACAGTTCTGTGAAGCTTTGCTGCTCCTTTTTACAAAAAGCAGTTTCTTTCAAGCGCTTCCAGTTTTAGGGAGAGGAGTGAAAAAAATTGACACTAAGACTGAATTCTATTATAAAACTTCAGGGGAGAGAAGATGAAGAAAATGCATGAACATCTTTTAAAAAATGTGTTAAAAATTCTAGTGAAGAATAAAGATCTGTAGGCCATTCTCATTCCTGTTTTGTTGGTGTGGTTTGAGAGTTCATGGATTAGGATTGTTACTACATTCACAGTTAATGAAAAGCTTCTTCCTTCAGGGCCTTACTCAGTAGGGCCACAGCCTTGCAACCTCTGATGGGACAGGAAAGTGGTTTTCTCTACTGTGAGACTGGAAATCCTTTTTATTTGTTGTGTATAAGGCAGACAAAAGTCTCCTTCTTATTCCCTTCACCCCTTCATGTGAAAGCTCTGCAGTTTGGCCTGAGGGAAGTAGGCTACAAAAGGAGGTATCAAATTTTGCAGCCCTTCCAATGGTGTTGCTGCTGCTCCTTGAACCCAGGCTGAGGGAGCCATTAGAGTGATCTTCTAGCAGCTGCTGAGGGGAAGAGTAAAGTTTCTGTAGTGCTCAATCTGTCACAGCCATGGGACCTACGCTCCATGTTAAAACACAGTTGCAAAATTACTGTATTCAAACTCCGTAACTCTTCAGGTTTATTTATTTACCTTATTTATTTTATCCATATTTATTTATATGGATATTATGGAAGAGTTTTCCAAGTAGTTTATTAAAACCATATGATATTGCTTACAATATTTTAACTGCCTACACAATTGTTTTTTTTTGTCAAATTAAGAGCCCAATATATAAATTGTTTTCTAATAATGTTGTTGGCTTTTTTTTTCAAATACAAATTTTTAAATTAAGTAGATGGAAAGAAATGATAATTTTTTATTCCTGTATCCTCTAGTTATCACCCTAAGCAGAAACTGGATTTGTATTAAATGACAGTGTGACATAAACCATAACCTGAAGTATGTATTGAAGGGAGAAAATATATATGTAATATAGAAGTTTTAAATGAAATGAATGCTCTTGTCAGAGTAGGACTGCATTAGAAAATGATTTTTTTATTACTGAATACCAGTGCATAGTGAAACTATTTACACAATTATGAATTAGCAGGTATTTGAATTCTTTTAAGAAATTCTTTTGTTTACAAATGTTGTGGTGAACATAAAGTAACTGCAAATTCAGATTTCAGCACAAATACAATTTTTACATTATTTATAACTGTCAAATGCCTATGCTTCAGATTTTTTGTCTGAATGTACTAAACTAATTGGTGTTTCATAAACATCTACAGTGGAACTGATATTTGCCCTTGTTTGTTCCAGTTAAAACTACCTATTGGTGACTCTTGTGTAAACCAGTTTACACTCTTGAGTCTTGAACTATTTCTCCTTTCTCTTCTCTCTCAGGCTTAAGCACAGCCTGTAGTCTTTGGGATCTCAGTCTTATCATAAAACCTCCAATTCACATTTATTGCTTTAGCTTCTCCATTCTTCTGGGTAGGAAATGCTCAGATCTGATTTCTTCCTGGGCTTGCTCACTCATAACTCATGTCAACTTTGCTTCTGAAACAGTCTGACCTAAGAAAAAAATGGTGTTTGGAAAATCCTGACAGTCTCCTAATAAGTCTAAAGCTTGTAGAGGGGTTAAGAGTGTGTATTATATTAAAATTGGGATGAGCTGAATTTTTGAGGTAAGTTTATTTTCCAAAGCAAATTTTACTTTTTTGATCTACTTAAGCCAATGTGTCTTTTAGTTTAGTGTAATATGTAAAGAGACCAAAAAAAAAATTGGGGAGAAAATTTTATATGAAGACACAGCAACCATGAGTGACATGAATTAGTAAGAGTTGGGCAATTTCTGAGCAGAAATGGCCATGGGAGCGTAGTTCTTCCATGCTGTCTCTTCTCCAACAGGTTTAGTGTCAGTGTGGCCTGGTAGCTGGCCTGTGACTTCAGCAGTGGTAAGCATTTTAAACTCAGCCTCTTTAAAACCAGTGACTGACAGAAATTGAAGCATTGGAGTCAAGAAAATGATAAAACATAAATGCTGGGAGACTGTCTTATGTGCCTCCCTGCTGAATTCCTTACAACCTTTTCTCCTAGACATTCTGCCTTCCCACAGGGGAAAAACCCCTCCCATTAGACCTTGATTCAGAATTAACTTGTACATCTGGCACTGATGTCTGGTGTGTGACAGTGATACTGTCAGCTGTATGACAGGCGTTCCAGGTGATTTCAAAAGTCTTTCACAGAGAGCCACAAACCCAAAGTAGCCTGTTTCTGCTGTGGTAGCACCACTACTTTTAGTGTTGAATTCTGTTTTCCTGAATCCCGAATGGGGACTTCTCCAAAGACTAGAGGAGCTACTTGGGTTTGTAGCTAATTCATTTGGATTACTGAATTTGGAGGGAGTTTTCCCAGGCTGTCTGGAAAACCATGAAAAAATCTAGCATCAAGGAATGAAAGACACTGCAAGTGTGTATAAGACAAACCCACTTGCCCTTCCTCTATAATTTGAATTGGATTACTGCAATTAAATCAGATTTTTGAAGGCAAGAAAGAAGATATCTTCCAATAACTTGTTCACAGTCTGTTAGAGACCTTTTGCAGAACTGAGAACAGGTTCTGGGTCACTTCTGAAAAATCAGTGTTGGTCTATAACTAGCAGCCTGTTGGGTTGTATTGCAGCTGCTGAACACAAAACATATGCTGCCTTGCATATCCAGGTGTGTTTCTCATGGAAATACTATGGCTATTGGAATTGAAGCTGAAACCCCTTTATTTTTGTAGTACAGTAATTGTGAAAGGATTTTTTCCACTACAGCAGCTTTGTCTTCATGTCTGCCACTTAGGGAAGTTTAGCACCATTTGGAACTGTTTTCACTTGTAGAAAGGTAAACCCTCTGTAAGGATAGCCATTTATTGGAACTCTAAGTAAAATGGCAGATGGTCTGGATGTACAATTTTGTTTAGACACTGGGAAAAGGATCAAACTGTGGAAGAAGTTGTCATAGTAGAAACTATACCTGCAACTAACATGTAGATATTTTAAATTATATTTAAATGAGGTCAGATGTGTTTGAGTGAATTACATCCAACAAGGAAAGATTAAGATGGTCCCTATTGTTTGATTAAGATGGTCCATATTGCTTAAGCACACAGTCCCAAGCCTTTTTTAATCTCTGATGGCAGTCTTGGTGTGCTCCTGGCTGTGCAGTGAGGCCTTCTTCCTTGGGAGAAGGAACCAACTCCACCTACCTAAACCCTCCTTTCAGGCCGTTGTAGTGAGGAGTAGAGGACCCCCTGAGCCCCTTATTTTCCAGGCTAAACACCCCCAGCTCCCTCAGCTGCTTCTCATCAGACTTATGCTCTAGACCCTCCCCAAACTCCATTGCCTTGTCTGAACAGGCTCCAGGCCCTCAATGTCTTGTGGTGGGAGCCCAGAAGTGAACAAAGCACTCGAGCTCTGGCCTCACCAGTGCCAAGTACAGGGGGACAATCACTGCTCTGGTCCTGCTGGCCACAGTGTTCCTGATACTAAAAATAGACTAAAAATACATCTAGTCTACTTGGGGATGTCCTGTTATAATTTTGATCATCACCAGGATGCCAATGGTCTTCTTGGCCACCTGAGCACCCCCTGGTTCATGTTCAGCTGCTGTCAACCAGCATGCCCATGTTCTTTTCTGCTGGGCAAATTTCTGGCCACTGCCCCAGGCTGTAGCACTGCCTGGGCTTGTTGTGACCCAAGTGCAGGACTCAGAGCTTCCTCTTTTTGAACCTCATACAACTGTCCTGAGCTGATCAATCCAGCCTGTCCAGATCCTTCTGTAGATACTTCCTACTCTCCCCAAGACTGAGACTCCCACCCCATCAGTTTGGTGTTGCCTGCAGACTGACTGAGGGTGCTCTCAGTCCCCTTGTCCAGGTCCTAGATAAAGATACTAAACAGGACTGGCCTGTCACCACCCCTGTCTGGGCCGGGCTGTGTTTTACTCAGTGAACAGAATCCATCCAATCCATTAGCATCCAGTTTCTTTGAAAGAGTGCTGTGATAAACAGTGGCAATGGCCAGGCAGACAACATCCACAGGCCTTCCCTCTGCCACCAAGCCTGTCATCCTGTCACAGAAGGAGATAAGTTTGGCCAAGGAGGACTTGCCTCTCATAAACCCTTGCTGGCTGAGCCTGATCCCTTGGATATCCTGCGCAGGTTGCATGATGACACTCAAGCTGATCTTCCATGACCTCCCCCAGCATCAAGGTTAGGCAGACACACCTGTAGTTCTCCAGATCCTGGCCCTTCTTGTAGATGGGCATCCCATTTGCTAACCTCCAGTCAATGGGAATTCCCAGTTAGCAAGGAGTGCTGGTAAATGATGGAAAGTGGCTCAAGTGAGCATCTCCACCAGCTTCTTCATCAGCCTTGGGTGGATTCCATCTGACTCCATGAGCTCACATGTCTAAACGGCATAGCAGGTCTCTGAAAATTTCCCCTTGGACTATGGGGGCTTCATTCTGCTCCCTTCTTCAAGCTCAGGGAGCTGGACAGCCTGAGATCAACTGCTCTGACTGTGAAAGACAGGAAAAGAAGGTATTAAGCACCTCAGCCTTTTCTTCATCCTTCATCACTCTGTTTCCCTTATGTCTAATGAAAAAGAGATATCCTCTGAAATATGATGGTCTCTGAAAAAGCAACGCAGTGCAAATTCTTATTGTGCATTGGTGCATCTGTTATATCTGAGTTTTTGCTGTTCACCTTCTTTTATACCTCTGCAGCGTAACAGCTCCTTCTAAGAATTTCTTTCCTTCCACTGTCTCATTTTTGACTCATCAAATCTAATGTACAGTATAGTTAAAACCCAAAATGTCTTCATGTGATAAGGGAATTCTGATTTTCCTCCTCATTTTCTAGAGACCTACTCTGAGACCACCTCTGGTTATGATCCACATGTGCTACTGAAGGTGGCTGGAATGGTGTGACAAATGTAAGTATTTTGAAGAAACTTGCCCCTGCAAGCCTCCATTTGTGTACTTGGAATTAACAGATGCTTTAGTCTCCCTGTGTCATGCCCCCGCTTCTGTAATGTGCATACAATGATATCATTCATATCATCACACAAAGATGATGTGAAAATGAGTCACTTAATGTTTGTAATGCATTCAGATGTTGTGATGAGCACTGTAGGAAAACCCACAAGCAAATGAATAATTCATTGTTCAAATCAGGCTTTGAACAGTACATGGTAAACAAGACATGGGACTTCACACTGAATAGTAAGAGTAAGGCCAAATAATTAATGATCATTTTTTCAACTATCATGGTTGATTCAGAGTATTGAAAGGGAATGGCATCTTGTGGAAAGAGGTGTAGTCAAGTCCTAAGGGACTGGATGTTAGTATATGATGGGAAAATTAATAAAGAAAAATAGTTTATGTTTTTTCTTTTATTTTGTTCTTTCAGTGAACTTTAGTATTAGTCATGATGTGTGTTTTGGAACAAAGATGAAGTGTGTTAGGCTTCCTAAATTGCCTGGTTTTAAGTCTGTGTATCTCCCATTACATAGATATGATAGAATTGGAGAATCTTAATGTTTTTCCTAAATTCTGTTTTCATAGTTTCCTGCTGCTCAGTGAATCCTTTTAGTCTTTGGTGTGTAAGCATCAAATGAAGGTTATAACAGCTTCTCTGGACACTGTGGCACAGTCTTTGGATATATTTTGTTAATTTTGATGTATCATATATATATTGATATTAAATTATCTAAGAGCAGCTAATGGAAGAGGAGATGTAAACTTTCTCCTGTGTACAAGCTGCAAAATAAAAGTTTTGGTGGAATCTTACATCTGGAATAGCTTGCTCCTATGTTGAACGTTCTGACCTTCCTTTCCATGATAGCTCTGAATGTTTACATTCTGAGAGTGAAAAAGAAAAGTGAGGGAGGTATTTGTAGCTACACCACATAAAAATATGTCAATAATTCAGGCTGATTAATAGCTCCTCTAGTAACCAAAGTCACCTGCAATTTTTTATAGTCCTAGAGCATAAGCCATCCAGAACATATAATCAATTCCACTCTGCAGATAGAAAGGATGTTTTTTTCCCAGGCATCTCCTTCTCTCTTCCCTAAGCTGAAGCTTTAAAAATCAATTCCATAATTTGATAAGTTTAAATTCCTGAATATGATGAGGTAATGATACCAAACTTCTAACATTTCACTTCTTCCAGTGACAAATTTTTTGGCAGTGCAGCATTAAAAATAGACCAGAATTTCCTTGAGAACTGTTATAATTCACATTTGTAATTTTAAAAGTTCTTTAACTGTATTTTTTTATATTTTAAATGCAAGACCACTGAGCACAGACGTGTCCAAGAGACAGCCACAGCCCACGTTAATGCAATGACATCACTCAGTGTGATAAATAGCAGTTATGTCACACCCGCTTTTGAAAACAAAAGCAAATCATGTTTAAAAACAATTCTGTATTTCACACTTCTGGACTAATTTAGCAGAGTGTTTCATAGTATTTGGGCACATTTTGAGAGCAAAGCCTGCATAATAGCTTAGTGATTGGAATGAAAAATGGGATCAAATATAAAAGGATAATTCTGCATTTTAGTGTTGTATAGAAATATGAACTTAAGCAGATTAACAAGATAAGAAATGTAATGAAAGAAGAAAGATTCTTTCCTAGATTCTGAAATTGGCAAAGCGCAGCAAACACAATTTTTATGGTTTTTACTATAGTGTATGTGAACAGATAACTTGCAAAGGATGAACTCATCTTTTGAAAAGATGGGCCAAATTATTACACCTGTACATTGAAACACTCAGGGAGTTCTAAGTGTAGTTTCACTGGCCTTTTGTGAGAGATGAGTTCTGGATGTTAACTGGTATTTGCTTCTGGTTTTGTCAACATTTTCTTAAGGTCCTGCATAATTTTTAACCTGAGTTCATAGTAAATCCAATACCTCATCAGCCTCACAGCCAAAACTTCACAGACGTGGATTTTTCAAGTTAAGGAAACTTAAAATGAGACCAGTAACTTGGAGGCACAAGCTGGTGAATGTAGGTGCCTGAAGTAGCCTGTGAATCTGCTGATGCCAATTTAGGCCCTGAGTTAGAAACTACGGAGTTAGTTCTTTGCATTTTTTACCCAGGGATCTCAAAGCCTGTTGTCCCTAATAAATTACTCTTGTCCACAATGTGGAAGATGTATGTAAGTTACTATGGGCTTATTCCAAGCCTGCACAAATGGAAACATAAATCAGCTTGGCTTACACTGCATGCAGAAGTGATGTCAGGAGCAGAAACCAAAGGTCTTCTTTCTCCTCTGGGTCAGCTGACCCAGGAGTGTGAGAAAGCTCATTCATGTGCACACAATTCTGCCTGCTGTCAAAGTCTTTCGCCTACTTCCCAAAGAAAACAAGACCTTTCTTTTCCCTTTTTATTTATCCTGTCTCCTTTTTGTTCTTTTTTTTTCCTCCCTCTGTACCTCCTCTGCCTCATCCCTTCACCCAACAACCTTTGGAGGTTATTAAGTTCTTGGCCTTTGGAGGTTTGGGCAGAGTTGGAAGGGGAAAGCAATAAAAATGTTATGAAATATGGGACTAGCTAGAAGAGGGAGATAAATTAGTCCTTTCTGAGGGTGAGCTTTCCAGGTCTGTGCTCAGTCTTGCCTGAGAGGTTGGCTGAACCTCCTGAACCATGGCTCAGGCTTTGCCATAGCAGGACTGCCCCCGTGCCCAGATGGGATGTGTGGAACCTTGTTGAAATAGTGTCACTGGAGTAAGGGTTGCTGGGAGTTGTAATTGGCCATAAATGAGAGAAGCTTAGGTTTTATTACTGGCACTGGTTGCAGAAGAAGTTGGAGCTATTCTTTCTGCTTGTAAAATTACATTTAGTCTACTTGGGAATGTCCTGTTATAATTTTGATCAGCTTGGCAATTAAAAAAGGCATTTTATTTCCAACTAGAGTTGATAAAGAAGAAACTTATTTAAAATATTGAACTCTAATCCCCTTCAAGGGAGTGTTTCTTTAAATAAATACATAACAAACTCCTAGAGATTGTTTCTTTTTTCTTAAATCTTCTAAGTGTTTTTTTTGCAGTTATGTCTTTCATCTCATGGGAACTGTCTACTCCTTGATTTAATCCCAAAACATCATCAAAGTCAGTGGGAGAGAAAAGGAAAAAAAATAGTATCTGCTAACTCCAAAATAAAAGCTTAGTGTATTGTGACTGAGCTGGGCAAAATCCTATCCTGGTAGTTCTAGACTTTGTATAAGGAATTTTCAGAGTTTGAACTTTCAATTGCATTGGTATATGGCCATAGAATTACTCTTTTCACCCAGAACTACACACATGAAATGTGTGAGGAACATGTGGAGGGGTGTTTTATTTTGTTCTCCTTTCGAGTACAACATTGTAGGTATTTGTAGGTATTTAGCGTAGAAGGAAATCAGAAATGCATATCAGAAACATGTCCCCAGTTTGTCTGGAAGAGAAAAATTGAGACTGTTATCCCTCCACTCTCCCTGGAAAATCTGCTAACTTGATATTCTGTAGTCTGAGCGAGCTCTCAAGGTCATCAAAGTAGTTTTTTGAATCCTGTGGCCTTCTTATTCCTATAGATAATAGCATCAGGCCCATTATCTGATACTCTTCAATTTTGTTTTGGCTTCCTGCAATTTACATCCCATTGTCCAGTGATATTTTCTGCCTTCTTTTAAACTAAAGTCAAATAACACTTCCTATGTTGGCTCTGGACTTAATAAAAATCAGACATGCAACATTTGGGACTCTTAAAATAACACGTTTTAATACAAAGATGTGAGATAGCTTTTGAAATCTGTGGTGGATGTTTATTTCCTGCTGGGCTTAATTTAGGAATCTAGTGCTAGCATTAAACTAAGGGGAAAAATGTTTGCTCTTTCATCTGTGTGCCACATCCCATCCAAAATCACAAACAGCTCCTTTAAATTTCTGATCTTTGTCCCCTGCTGGATGTGCATAATACACATGCCTGTCTGACATATGAGACAGCCAGAGCCTTGAGAAAATAAATAACATTGCTAAGCTTATGCTTCTTGTCTTAGGCCTCATAATCATCTACATTTTGGAGAATGACAAGTGTCCAAATCTGTTTTGATTTAATAAAGATGCTGCTTTTCCTTTTTTTGAAGAAATCTCTTTCTTACCAAGTCAAAAGTGCTGATTTTATTGGAAAAACAAAACACAGGTAAAAATGCTTGAGGAATAAATACCTTCCCCACATCAGAGGACCATTTCCCCTTTTTTAATACTGCCTTTGAATATAGAAGTAAATACTTTCAAGAGTGTCACCTTAAAATTGAAAAATTTACTCAGGTCAAACTGGAATGTGAATCTGTCTTTAACACCTGGCCATGTAGCTCGTTAGGCAGGTGTACACCATAACATGGAGAAGAACTTCTGGTTTTGTGCAAGCTGAAGTGAAACTGTGTGGCCTCATACATTCAACTGCTTGGATCACATCAAAGTGCTGGGATCAGAATTTAAAAGAAGTTTTCACTTTCTGTTTGATAAAAGTCCGTCTTTGTTTGAAAAATCATCTTGGGCCCATTGTGCTATAATAGAGATTACACACGAAGCACATATTTTAAAAGAAAGTTATTAAGTTTTAAAATGTAAGATTGAAAAGTTTGATGCTAGAATCAATATTGGTCCTGTAATCTCAGTGGGTATGTTGTATGTAGGCATTATGATACAGATTTTAATTATTTGCTTGCATCTTTTTCCTCTGTAGTTTCTCTGCCTCATTTACATATGCACCCCTTCTCACCTCTCCCTCCCCTCAAAGAGAAAACACTCTTTAAACTGACAAGCTATTTGATGCTTTGTTTTCCCTTTATGTAGTATAAGAGCAAATTGCACTAACTGTATGCTGTTCCAGCCCTGATATGAGGGCAAAATAATTAATTCTTTCCTGCAATTCTCTGTGGTATT